ATATATATATATTTGTGTGTGTCGTCCATCCACAGAAACTTTCAAGTTAAAAGTTTGCTTCCAACTCAGGGTTTCTGGGACTGTAAATCTTTATCAGAGCGATGGCCTCATCTTTCTTCCCCAGGGTCGCTGTGCCGCAAGAATTGACTCCATGACAGTGAGCTGTTTTTCGACGTTTGAGGTGCGGACCCTGCAGTCAATAATCCCACCGCGCTACCACGGCTCCTTAGGACACCACGTGAAGTCGTCCTACTCTGCACACAGGGAGCCTCCTTGAGACAGAATCCACCCAGTGGCACCTAGCAACCACATTTAGAAAGAAAAACTACAGCAATCAACCAGTAAGGAATTTCTTAAAGTTTCCAAAGAGTTAGCTGTTGTAGACTGGGCAGAGAAAGGGGAAGGAACTTAATGCGGAGAAAAACAATTGGAAACTCCGCGGCTTCTGTGGATTAAAAAAAAGAGACAAGCGAGGTCGACCTCCACTCGGCCTAGAGTGGAAGCCTGGAGAAACAAAGGCTTCCGGGGCAGAGCCCGTCAATTCTTTTCTCTTCCGGAGCGAGGAATGTGGACTGCCCGCCGCATTAAGTTTCCGGACTGCTTGCATGTCACATCTGGTTTCCTGAGCCGGTACCTGCGCTTAGGCCCGGTGACCATGGCAAAGAGCAAGTTTGAATACGTTCGGGAGTTCGAGGCCGACGACACCTGCCTGGCCCACTGCTGGGTGGTAGTGCGACTGGATGGCAGGAATTTCCACCGGTGAGCAAGTCCGACGCGGCCCGCAGGCAGGGCCGGAAGTCGGCCACGTTACTGGGGTAACGCGACAGCCAGTGAGCGTGCGCCGCTGAGCGTCGCCTGCCGTGCCGACTACTGGGCGCGGGCGCGGGTCTAGAAAAGTTCGAGGAGGCATGTTGCGGCGCTGTTGAGCGAGCTTGCAGTGCGCGTACTACGTGGGCAGAGATCGGTTAGCCAGGACTTGGTAGAAAAGTTGATCAGGTCTTCGGTCAATTATAGCTCAGCTATACTGTCATCTTTTGAGTGCTGCTTTGGACAGCACTTTTCAGTAGAGAGGGCTTCAAAAAGTTCGTGGAGAAATTCCTTTATCTTATCATTCAAAATGTCCAGGAACGTTTTGAAACCCACTGAAATAAGCTTACCCCACTATTTGTAACAGACTATCTGAAATGGCCTGTGGGGGGTGGGGGGGAACAGGACAGGAGGGAAGGAGGGAGGAAAGTGGAGAAGTGTGGCAGAAATATGGGAATTTAGGTTTTTTTTTAAAAAGTACTCTGAACTTCTCTTGGGAACTTACTAGGAATCAGGCACAATTACGTCTGTTATCTTCCTCTAATCATTAGAGAAACTCAATGAGTTAAATAGTCTTATTTCGCAGAAAAGGGAATTAAGCCGTAGTGGCCTCGTGGGTTGAGTTAGGCTGTTAATTGCGAAGGTCAGCACTTGGAAACCATCCGCTGCTTGAAACCCGCTGCGGCAGTTTTACATTCTATGAGGTGGCTGCGAGGAGGAATCGATTCAAGGGCATTGAATGAGGTTCCACTGCGCTCCGCTCCCCTCCACCCTTGCCGTATTTCTTCCTGCCTTTCCTCTGTGAAGGTTTGCTGATAAGCACAACTTTGCAAAACCTAATGATAGCCGTGCCCTCCACCTAATGACGAAGTGCGCCCAGACTGTAATGGAGGAACTGGAGGATATCGTGATTGCTTATGGACAGAGTGATGAGTACAGCTTTGTGTTCAAGCGGAAGAGTAATTGGTTTAAAAGAAGAGCCAGGTAATTCTCTCCAAGGCCTAACTCCTTTTTGAGATGTTTCCTACCAGCATCTGTTTTCTGCCTGCCCTGATTGCTGGCTTACAGACTGGTGTCTGCAGTATTTGCAAATGCAGACGAAGGAGGGGGGGGCTTCAAAAAGTTGTTGGAAAAATATAATTTGAAGATAATGGCGTTTTCCCATTTTGGGGGGCGGCATGTTTCTTGTTTAAGTACTTCCTCTGATAGTGAATGGTAAAACTAGAAAAAGATCCCAAGAATGTACAGTAATACTAATGATTCATAGGTTGACGTTAGCCAGTGATAGTCCTACCTGTATTGCTATGCTGTTTAAACTTTCTTTTTGATGCATTTCTTTTGAGCTGTTTTAGGTTTACAGAAAAATTGTGCATTACCCATCTATCCCTCCTTTGTACACATCATTCCATCTGTCAACATCTTGCATCCCTGTGGTACATTTATTTCAAACAAAGAACGCATTGTTACATTATTATAAACTAAAGTCCGTAGTCTATATTTCCGCATGCTCTTCGTGTTGTACAGTCCCACAGATTTTGACAAATGTTTAATGTCATGTGGCCACTATTACTGTATCATGCAGAGTAGTCTACTCCCTAAAAATGCTCCGGACTCCACCTGTTCACACCTCTCACGGCCCTCCCTTACCTTTGCAGCCTCGGAGCTTTTCATGGTCTCGAGTTTTTCGTTTTCCAGAATGCCATAAAATCTGAATTGTAGGCTTCTTTTTCACCTACCAGTCACCAGTAAAGATTTCCCCATGTCTTTGTGTTGCTTGATGACTCATTTCTTTTTATTTTTGAATAATAATTCAATGGTATAGATGTAGCCACGCCCCCTTGTGGTAAAGAGTGGTTACGCTGTTGGCTGCTACCGGACAGGTTTGGCGATTTGAACCCACCAGCCCCTCCACAGGAGAAAGATGTGGCAGTTTCTGTAAACATGACAACCTAGGCAACTATGAGGCAGCTCTACTCCGTCATATAGGGCCGCTGTGAGTTGGAATTGACTTAACAGTAGTAGAGCTTTTGGTTTTTGTTTTTTAATGTATCACAATTTGTTTATCCATTCGCCTATAAAAGATTATCTTGATTTAAACTTTTAATTGAGTATCAGCACAAAATCTGCAAATCTGATGTTTCATTTGGCAGTATTTGGAAGCTCACAAGAAACAATTTACATAATAAACTGCTATACTTTTAAAGTCATGAGTCTTCCAAGGCTAAAAAAAACTTCTTGAATCATAAATTCTTATCATATCCAACCATGAAAAATTTGGTACTGATAAATTACCTACCAGACTAGAAGTAGAGGCAGGCAGCATTTTAAATGTATAACTGAAATACTGTCATGTTTCTTCTTGGCTAACTGTATTTTATCTCTTGGCTTGCCAGATAGCATGTGTAATCTCTGTGTTGCACCCACAGGCCTTATCCTGCTTTTGAATTAATGTTGTGTGTTTTGTCTCTCCTTGCTCTACCCAAATGTGCCTTATATTTCCAAGCAAGTTCATGACGCATGTGGCCTCGCAGTTCGCCTCGAGCTATGTGTTTTATTGGCGGGATTACTTTGAAGATCAGCCTCTTCTATATCCCCCAGGCTTTGATGGAAGAGTTGTGGTGTACCCTACCAACCAGACCATAAAGGATTACCTCAGCTGGAGGCAAGCAGACTGTAAGTAGCATCCAATAAACAGGTAAACCGCCAGCCCCATGCACTGGAGGTGGTGACTGACAGAGGTCTGGCTCACAAGTATGTTTTATCTTGAGAGTAGTATTTTTTTTAAGTAATTTTCTTAATTACTAAAATATTTTAGTAATTGAGAGATTTTATATTAAAAATACCTATTTTGAGCACCTTTCTTAGGGGATCTGTTCTGCTTTCACAGTTATTGTTGCAAAGCAACTATATGGTATGTGTGCGCACCCTCACCATTGTGCGCCAGTTGCTTCCATTCATTGCCTCTTGTTCTCCTGGGTCATGTTTTTTTCTGGTCTTGCTGGCCTCTGGGTAGTTGTAATGCCTGTCTTGAGTGACTGTAATGAAAGGTGTGTGAGACTTAGGCTTGGTATATTTTGATTTTACCAGAAAAACTGGAGAAGGGAGTGGAATGATATAAATGAAATAACTTTTGGAGTACTCCTCAGTTGAACACATGTGAACAGATTTCTGTAACGCATACCTGATTTGACTGCATGAAGCAGTTGCTAGGAAATAAGGTGGTTTTTTAAACCCCTTCCTCTCATTTTCCCTGCAAATGACTTTTGGTGAGTCACTGAATATCTGTAAGATCTCTCTTCTTTCTTTTTCATCATTTTATTGGGGGCTCCTACAACTCTTGTCACCATCCATCCATCCATCCATTGTGTCAAGCACATTAAGTTCTCTCTTCTCTAAGAAGAGTAAGTACTGAGGAGAGCTTCTGGGTGAATAAACAGTCGTTTTGTTCTCTCCGCAGGTCACATCAATAATCTTTATAATACAGTGTTCTGGGCGCTTGTACAGCAGTCTGGACTCACCCCAGTACAAGCCCAAGGGAGGTTACAGGTATCAAGAGCTTCCTATCTAGTACTTAGCTGTAGGCGGTTATCTGTAGGCTCCCCCTCTGGAACCCTGCATAAGTTGCCTCTCTCTGAGCCCGCTGCCTCAGCTGGAAAGTGGAATGAATGACAGGCCTTGGCTGGACCTGCATCTCAGCTGCCCCATTTTAGTGTCAGTCACTACCAGGCCAGGAAATTTATTGCTGTTAACTACTGGACGGTAACTGGTTTTTGGATTTACGGTCCATGTATATAGTTAAGACTTCAGGTCTCTGGAGTTAAATTACCACACTTAAATTGTGCTTCCATTTATTTTTTTCCTCTCTGCTTCAGCTTCTTACAGGTAAAATATGAGAAATAATGTTCTGACCTAATAGGTTTATAATGAAAAATACATAGTATGATGCATGTAAATGTATGAAGCACATTGTAAATATTTGGTACAAAAGGGCTTCCAAAAGTTCACAGAAAAAATGTTACTAAAAGATAATAGAAAATTTCTATATACTTTTTGAAGGCCCATAATATAGTCTGGTTTTCATTCTTAGCACTGTTAACCTGGAGGATCACTGTAGTTCTGCAGTGAGATAAGGTGTTGCAATAGCTCCAAATGCAATACTTGGTTCATTCTAACTATTTCAGTAAATTACTGTATTAACAGTTAATAATAAAGACTTTTATATATAGGGATAATTAGGATACAGGCAGATAGAGCTAGGGTTTGACATAATTGAGCGTAGGTCTTTTTTCTTACTAGAAGAATAAGAAAAGCTTTAGATAATGTGTGTCATTTTTTTCTAAAATGGAGGATCGAGTAAGAAAATATAGAAAGTACCTGGGACATAACAGGTGCTTAGTCATTATCAGTCCTCCTACCTTATCACACTCTTGAACTGTGGAGTCAGTTATTGATCTGAGGAGCATTGAAGCAACTAAATAAGACTTGAATTGCTCTTAAAATAGAGATGCCTTATTACCCCTATGAAATTTGACTAAACTTCTTCCACTTTATGGAAGCTTTGAGGGTGGAATGCTTAGGAAGGCTGAGGTGATAAAGTGGACATACAAAGCTTTCATACCTGTTTTATTTCCTCAGGGAACTCTTGCAGCAGACAAGAATGAAATTTTGTTTTCTGAATTCAACATCAACTATAATAATGAGCCCCTGATCTTTAGGAAAGGGACTGTGCTGATATGGCAGAAGGTAAGATGGTTATATTTAGAGAAAAATGGAGGTCAAGAAGAGAGCTCAGGAACATGACAGTAGGACAAGAGGAAAGTAAAAGGGAATAGAGGAAAGAACTAGGAGACAAAGGGCACTTATAGAAGTCTAAATACCGGCATGTATATATGTAAATA